AACTGGTGAAGTTCAAAATTTCATCAAAGTGACATAGATTACTAGTCATGAAGACGTCCTTGAAAATGGCATGAATATGGTGATACTTTCAGAAGAGAAAGCTGTGGACGGATAATGGCATACAATTACACATTACTTAATGGTTTTTTTATGCTCTGAACAGTCTTCATGGAGACCCTACAAAATATATAGTGTGTGTACATAATCATACTTAGGTCTATATGCGAAATAGTACCTCAGTTTATGAGATATCTATGTTATTGTCCAAACCCCGGTACAATTTCCATAATTTGTTCAAATCAGACTACCATAGCATATAGTTGTCATACGAATTGATCGATCAAAACCTAGTCCTAGTATGAAATTTTTGTTATTGTGAATTAACCGACTGTTTTTCGAAGCTGTTTTTAAGCAACGTTTTTTAATAGATCTCATGCGATGTTAATACGATGATTCTTCTGACTCAAAAATACTACTTCGTTTTCAGATGCTTCACGTTTGAATTTGCAATGCTTTTTTAGTGATTCAATACTTTTTCAACACTATTACTCACGCTTACATACTTTTTTTTTTCGTATCTGCTAAAAGTCGCAATTTGACTTAAATGTCCGCGCATTTCTGATTTATATGACCGTTTTACAAAAAATCAAACTAAGCAAGTGGTAAGTGCATTTACTTTCTAATTATTTTAAGCTTATTGGTAAATTGTAAAAACCTTTTAAATCTAATCATGATCATATTATTGAAAACAAATCAGTGAGAATAGCTCACCAATACACAGCAAAGAAATCTGGAAATCTGAATTAAAATTTTTTGTAATTGTCTGTCGAAAATTGAATGTCATTCAAAGGTTTTCTGTAGTTCATATACGTATATACGAATGACATAAGATTGCGGTCATTCATCTTTATCCAGTGTGGAACCGCAACCAATTGATTGCTCCCTTTGATACATTGCCCTTGGTTTATATTCGCATGATCGTGTGTATGTGTCTAAATTATGATACTGGAATCAATCAAATAAATTGTAATAATACGATACATGTGTGGATAATAAGTTTTAGACGGCGATACGCTATGCGATGTCAATTGACAGTTTTTGTTGAGAAATATACCAGTCTCATATTCTTTCGACAAACTATAGATAGAAAAAAAATCCTAGTATGACCTAGTTTGGGTTTAAGAAATTATGAAATTAAATTAAAAATCGTTTTATGCATGGAACAACTTTGGTCTTTGGCAATATACTTCATTTTAAGTACACATATTGTAATTGTGGATTAGTATTTTACAGATTAGTTCGATTTCGGTTAGGATTTTACAGTAGTAAACCGGTATTTTCGCCTGCATAGTTTCAGGTTTCACTGCAGTACATTTACACATGTATGTACCGGCATATCGACACTCAATTAAGCGCATCCGTTTATTGATCCAACTGCTAGAAGGCTTTCCAATTAAACTCATTTGCCATGCGCTCGAAAATAAGAATTACTGAGTACAAAAAATATCTCTCTGAAGCGCAACGTTTTAATAGTATTCTTGAGCAACGATTTGTTTGCCTATTTTTTTAGTTGAAACATTTCTTAAGACAATTTTCAGCACATAACAAAAAAGACTTTAACTTTGGTTACACCAAAGCAGTAACACCCTTCACAAATACAAAAGTTTCCTTACAAGAATTTAATGTACAGTATGGCAGCTCAATTCAGTTTGTATGACAGCTATATGCTATAATCATCCGATCTGAGCAATTTCTTGAGATTGTATTATATCTTTAGGTGATGATCTATGTCAAATTTAAGATATCTTGTCAAATATAGAGTTTCTATGTATGTATGACAGACATGTGACATGGTGGTCCGATATCGTCAGTTTCGACAAATGAGCAACGTCTTTGTGAGAAAAAGGTAGGTAAAAAAAATATTTCGGTGTAAGGAAAAATGGTGGTTGGCTGACTAGTTGAGCTTGGAGTTTGTATTAAGATTTTTATAACTATTTGTTTTTCTAACTATTTGTTTTTATTATGTGTGTAATTCAAAACAATTAAAGCGGGTTGGCAAATATCTTGCGTATAAGGTAATAAACCAAAGGTAAATATTATAAATTTGATAAACAATTGCTCATAAGGAAGTGTTTATGAACGGCCTTATGTAAGTATGTGCAGATTTGTCAGTAAACTGCTTATAACTGGATATAAAACTAAAAATATTTATGATTGAGTAAAATAAGGGGGAATAATATCAAGTTTTTTATCAGTGCAATATCACAAGATAGTGGGATGCTGTTGAATAAGTAAAGACTTCGCAATTAATTATTGTAAGAATACATTTACTACTAGCAATTAACAGAAATAGTCCATCGAATAGACAAGGCTCCTGTAGGTTATTCGAAGCGAATTGTTAACAGACTTTGTGCATTAGCTCCATCAGTAGAGTACAGAACATTGGAATTGGTAGAACGACAGTTGGATATATAGTGTTTGAGATGTGTACAGAAATTAGTACCGTTTTCGAAAGGACAGTGCTGGACACGTGTCCTCCAATAGAAGCTAAAATAGAAGAGATTGTAAATGTCTTTGAATTATCAACATAGAGTACCTTGAAAAAGTAGCACATGAATAACGAACTATTTAAAAGGCATTACAAATTCATTGAAGGCGTAAAAGTACCGATCTTACTTATTGGGGATTCGGCGGTTAAATGCCAGGAAATGCCAGGTTTAAAGGTAAAGAGCTAGTATAGCATAGCATATATGTCACTATCTGGTGTTTGTTCGTAGTGTGGTATTGTTACCACATGTTTGTCACAAACATAAAGGATTTAGCCTCTTCCAAATAAGTTTCTTCTTATATAAAGGTGTCGTAATAAAGTCAAGACATTTACAAAGCGATCAGCAAGCGATCGATGCAAAATTTTGCACACGTTCTTTTCTCCTTAAGAAGGTTTGTCGGAACCGCCAAAATCAGACCACTACAAAATATTGCTGCCATGGAAACTAAAAAATCAAAAAAACATTGTAAAGAAGGGATCAAATAATGACAGGTAATACCAATAGCTTCCCAATTAATGCCACTTAAGCTGGCGATAATATTCCGAAACAATGACATATGACATTCACTTAAAGCGTAAATAACATGCAATTTTTCACTCAAAGTTCTTCTTCATTACTTCAATATGAAAATCACAGCTGAAATTTAACGTTTTTTGCTTTGGAAGAGTTTGAGGAATATTTCCAGCAGCCATTTCAAAACGCTCAATAGCGCCGGAACGTTTATAAGCAAGAAAATTAGATGTCTCGTGAAGTAAAGCCGGATACGTTGAAGTGCGATTTGGATTGTCAGAAGTACTGCTTGGATATTACAAAACGAAATTTTTGCAACGAATTGTGACTGGTGAAGAAAACACATACATCCATTACGAGAACCCTAAACGAAGAAAGAATATTTGAAACCTGGCAAACCAGATAAATCATGCGCCAAGTTAATGCTCGCTAATTGGTGAGATCATAAGGGCATGCTGTATTATGAGCTGCTAAAACCTGGTGAAGCGACGACAACTAATTATATAGAATCTAGAGATTGCTGAAAAACGTCGTGACTTTAATCTCGTTTTTCTCATAACCACTTTTCTAGAAACGTGCATGTGCATGATATCTCAAGTTCTACTCAACCGATTCACATGAAATTTTACACAGGGTTTTGTTATACATTGTATGTAGTATCACACTACGAAGAGCTTTCGAAAGAATTTTTTTTTTAAATCCGAACTACAAAATACGAAACTTTTTTTTTCAAACCTCCACAATTTTGTGAAATTTTTTTTTTTTTTCGTAGTGCGTTGACTACACTTCTACTCTTCACGGATATCGCACAAATTTTCAATTTAGGTCACGGAAAGGATTTATATCCTGCACACCAGGACAAGCCATTGTTTCATCAGTCTCTACTGCGTCGACCTGCAGTTGTTTTTAAATTTAAATTTTTTTTTAGATTAATACAAAACCTTAACTTAATATAAAACAATCATATTTTTATATACATAAAACCAGCTCCTTAAACAAAAACTGTCTAAACAAGTACGGAAGGGAAAAGTACAGCTTCCACACCCACTCTTTAAAAATTTTTAAACAACAGGTGTCCCTTGCTACTGCGATCCCCTTTGCCAAATTAGAGTTTTATCTTTTATTTTACTGCTTAGATATAGCACTTGCTTTTCGGTTAATGGCGGTTTGTGAACGATGCATTAGTTTGATTACGTCCATCTACAAACCACACACCTTAGTTTTTTTCCAAGGAACATGTGTACCAAGTTTCATCAATATAAGTATCTCATTTACTACTCAAGTAACAGCTTATTCGTACGGACAGGCAGACAGACAGACAACACTCGGATTTCAGTTTCTCGTCATCCCGATCATTTACATACATATATACATATACACATGTATATAACCATATAACTATCTCGCTTAGTTTTTGGTGGTACGTATAACCGTTAAGTGAAGAAAACTTTCAACTCTGTGGCAACATGTTGCAAGAGTATAAAAACAGTTTACTCATTAACCTAAAAGTTTGTATTTCATTGGACATACTTGTATTTCGTAGGATTACAGTTTTGCAATAAAAAACTCGGTTTCGAAGTTTTAAGGAGGAGAACTTTCCTGTTATAGCATGTATACAAAAACAAACATAATACTGATGAGTCTTCAAATGTCTTAACCAGAGATATTTGAGACTTTCACAAATAAATTCATAATTTTTAAAGAAAAATTGGCTCACTTAACCCCAATCAGTTATAAATAATCGACTTTGGCAAGCTTTGAAATGAACGATTAGATTTGATGTAGTAAGTGAATACGGCAAAAAATATGCAAGCTTTTTTAATTTATGCTTTCATTCCACAGCTTTCTGCACAGAACGTATTACCAGAGAACGTATATCATATACGTTCTTTGCTGCATTCATCCACTATGTTTTGTTGTGACATTCGTCGATAAGCATCAGCTGTTTAGCGCAGTTTGTTGTTAAATGCCTACGTGAACAATTGTGAAGCGTATTAACTATCGTGTAAATTTGTGAAATGAAAGAAACGTTGTATTAAAACTGATTCATATAAATTAATTAGTATTCACAGTTTTTGGAAACCAATTTATGGAGTTTTAAGTGTAGTTGGAGCGAATTACTTTGATATTTCATTCACTCAACGTACGAGTAAATCACGTCTGGAATTGAATAACTAGTTGCGCTTTTTTCTCTGCCAAATATAACAAATTGCGAGCATTGGAATAATCAAGAAAAGTGTATGTAAACCTGATGTACAAAGGTACAACGCTCTGTAGTCACATCCAATGAATATGCTTGAATGAAATGCTCTCTCGTATCCGTTGTTTACTGTTAGAATTGCAATAGTGTCACCAACTACATAGGGGTGGGTTAAACAGGTATGAACTCACTTTATATGCGAGAACTGCTCTCCGGCTTTGAGCTGTTGTGTCACTGTTTTAAAAAATATTTGAGTTCGGCACTCTTTTTGCTGGAAGCAGCATGCTTATAATTTTCCCAACTAATATGGAAACTTTGTTGCTGAATTAAAATGTTTTTAAAGTTTCTAAACTATTTTATGCTCGCATAAGCTTACTGTGGCAAGTTAAAAGGTAGGGTAGGTTCTTTGAATTTTTGTAGAATCTACAAGTAAATGAGTGTGTATGGACAAACCGTTGTTTTTATGCTGTACAGAAATATAGAATATTTTTAAAATGTGGTTTATTATACATATACATATAGAATGATTTAAGGGCTTAGGTGGGTTTAAGAGGTAAAAAAGGAATTTTTACGATTTTTTTTATTAAAGCAATCATATATTTGAAAAATGTAATATGTTATATCAACGGTACATATTTGAACAATATATCCTGAAATTTCCATACACAAATGTTGAAAATTCAGCCGTTGAGACCTCATTTCCATGGGTGTCTCACAAAAAAGTGCTCTCGTTGTAGACAGCATAACTTATTATTGGTTCATATAAAATTAAAAAACTAAACAAATTCCGTTAGAACATATCTAAATCTCGTTTTTGAACGAAGGAAATAAAAAAATATTACAGTTGTCCTTTTTTCTCAGGCTTTGAACAAAAAATCGAATTTTTTTGGTAAAACTTTCAAGGCAAAAAGACAAATAATTTTATGTTAAAAATTGTACACAATACGAACTAAATCGGTCGATAACTTTTCGAGAAATCGTGTCCAACGACTTGTGTCCAACGAAACTGTGAGAAAATCACGTTTAAAGACGGGGCACTTAGCGCAGCTAGCCTCGAACGCATAAGTTCTCAAAGCTGTATCTCTGAAACTATTATTCAGATCAACTTTAAAATTTAGAGCAATATTCTAGACGTATTATAGAATTTAATAAGGCAAACAAAAAAACGATTTTTTGAATGGCCCGTTGATTTTAAGTATGTGATTTAAAAAAGTAAAAAGTTATCGAAGGAAGGATCATCGAAGTTAATGACCTTGTCTTTTAGCAAATTTACTAGAAACAAGAAGAAACGAAAACAAATTGTTGTAATCCCTATTTCTGTCATTAGTAAAGGTTTAGAACATTTAAATTTACCGGTTTTACTGAAAAGATTAACTGAACGTTCACTAGTCGTACGCCTTTCGCTCGAAGCATAGTTCTTTGCAGTTGTGAAGCAGACAGCGTTTTATTCCTATTCATATCACATCAGCCGAACTTTATAGGGATGAGGTCAGTGGTGAGATATATTTAACTCTTAAAATTACGCATATGTGAAGTATTCGTGCGCTCATTTGCACATTGCCATGGTGATGTGGAAACGAAGGCAACTTGAATACAAATGAGAGTGCGGTTATTGCGCAAATCGGAGTCACACTCATTTGAAGTTACGATACTGCGGTATTGGATTCGAGAAACGAAGACAACTCACTGAGTTTATGTAGAACCGGGAACGCATACGGATGTACATTCGAAACGACGCGTTGCAGTCTAAAGCTAAGAGCAAGAGGATAATAAATAAATAATAACCATAATCATAATAAACATAATAAAAAGCAGTAATGTGCGTTTTAGGTGCATGTAATCACATGTTGGTGTAGATGAAGTGCTGTGAGTCGAATGAGAAATGTGAAGGGAGCATCCCATCACATAAAATGAAATGTAAGCATAAAAAGTGAAAATTAAGTGGAAAAGTATTTATAATAAATAACTTTAAACATCTACTGAAAACACAGTTTATTAAGAGGGAATTTACATATATATATTATCCAGATGGTGTAGTGACCCACAAAATCATGTAGGAAAAATGGAAGTGCAATAAAATTTTAACACACAGAAATTCGCTTAAAGAGACAGGTGCCTTTGCAGTGAAACTTAGCTGCATAAATAGATATATGCGAATGCAAAAGTGAACTCCTTGAGTAAAAGGCAAAATTCAGAAGTGCAAAGCAATTTTAGCGACACCGCTATAAAGTGAAAACAACAAGAGTACGGATTGAGCAGCAACAGCCACGGCAAGGTAGCTTCTTAATTTAGGCAGTTGTCGTCGCATACTCGCGCATTTGCCAAACAAATATTTTCACTTCATCTCAACACACACACATGCAAACACATTAACACATATATACTTATATAAACATAGATGCGCACTTTAGGCAAGGGGAGTGTATCAGCTTTTAGGCGCAGCCATTGCCGAAGCAAGAGCCAAGAATAACAAACATTGCAAGCGTCGAAGAGCAGAATTTGCAGAATCCACGTTGAAACACGTTTCCGCTAGATGTTGGTGTGGCAGCCGACTGGAGACGATACCTTATTGGCATAGTTTAAAGCATCCACAGGCGGCTAAGACATTCGTTAGTAGGCATTGACTTTTCGAGACAGCAAACCTTGCGGCTTGCGTGCGTACGTGTTACCGTTACACTGCTACCTATCTAAATGTCGTAAAGTTGAAGGATTTTTGGTGCCGAATGAACACACACATACACATACATTAGGCAGTGACTGCGGATAGTCGCTAGTCGACGTTGTGCTAACCAAGTATTTTGTAAATACACCCTCACTCATACGCATATCTATATACATATACACGTTTAGTATGTGTATGTAAATACAGTTTAAACTCTGTTTTGTTTCAGTTGCATATTTCACCAAAAAAACTGTGTATTAGTGTGTGCACAGCAAAGAATAACGGCAACCGATCCATAGACGCTGTGCAGCCAACAAGGTTCTTTGGCGAGCCGTTCTTCGTCAGTTGCCAATTAATCACCTACCGGTGCAAGCGCATAAAGTTGTAGTGAAACTGGCAAGTTGTTTAGCCTCAATTGTATCGCATTTACCGAGTTATCAATGTGAAAATTAATTTATACGTCAGCTAAACGAAATTAGCTGTGAGTAGGTTAGTTCTGTAAGTGTTGTTTATCGAACGCATAGGAAAGTGTGTGGAATAAAGAAAACAGTACAAAATAGATGATCAAATAAAAAAGATTTTCAGCCAAATGAAACGAGCCGGATAATCGGTATAAACTGCAACGCATTCAATATCGTCGCGTACACACATCTGCAATATACCGTTATAGTCGCCGCAAACCACAATTCTGTCGGTGGCTGACCTACTGCGTTCGCCTGCACCCAAACAACTACTATAACAAAATAAACAAGGGCAACACAATCGACCGCAACCGAGGACTCGTTCAATAGCGCCTGACATCATCCGTCGCATCGTACTCGACGTCCGCATCGTCGTCTCAAGATGACCACAGATTTGTTGTTCCCGAAAATTTCGGATTGCTCATACGTCTCGTGTTACTGGTGAGTACTCTCGCATCACACTCACACACCCGCATATGTAGATAATTACATACATTTATACAAGTCTTATATACGCAGCAGATAAGTCAAATAAATTCAAAGAAACCCTTTGGAATTTATAAATTAAACCCATGCTATGTGTGAAATTGCATTGCCCGCATAGCTGTAGAAGTGCAGAAATATGTATGCATATGTGTGCGCATGGACACCACGTGTGTTGCATACTTTTCAACGTTTAGTCGGCATTCGCCACTTGAGTACCGAATTTTATTTAATTGTATTTATTTAATATCTGGCTGCGTACAGCAGCTGCCACACTCGAGGCGATTCTGCGCGCCTGAAATTGTTTATTATATGCAGATATGCCTAACACACACCACTCACACTAAACGCCATTAAACATACTATGTACATAAATGTATGTCGCTGTGTGCGCGTACAACTTTTGCATGTGTTCATGATGCAACGTGGTAGCTAGTTAGGTGGCAAAGTTTGTCTACCTCCATCAGTGCTCCTCGTTGCTGTGTATTAAAATTCGTTGCGCTCATTACTCAAAGCGTACAGAATTAGGTCAAACGGTCATGCTCGTGCTTTGGGGGAAGAATTTGTGATTTTGCATTTTTTGTCTGTGAAGTATTTCACATGCTAGCTCATTTTATTTTCATATACATTTTTGTATATTCTTATGCATTAGTGGAACATTTCACTGCAACAATAGCCAACGGTCAATATTTCGAGACTTTCATAAGGCGTTTGCGGCAAACACAACCATACTTTCTACCTCTTGCCGAAGCTTTGTCATTTTAACCGTAAAAATCTGAAAAAAGTATCATATTTCAGTCCACCCAGAAAAGTGAATGTATGCTCCACTAACTAAAATCTTCGGAAGTGGATTTTTCAACAAAACTGATATCAAGTTTCAAAAAAGTTATAGAAATTATTATGGTCACACTATGTTTCGCGTTATCCAAAATCTAAACAGTGCTGTAAAAATTCGATTGACATTTTCGACATTGCTACGGAATGAATGAATTGATGAAGGTAGGTTTATATAAATATACATATGTACATAGGAAAAAAATTAACCCCAGAGCAGATTTCCAAAATGCGTATTCTAAAGGAGAATTTATTGAAAGAGCACTTAGCTCGGTGGTAGCAGAGATCGAAAAACCTCTGGAGATAACAGAATATGTCTACGTAGCCTTCCTTGACATAGAAGGCATTTTCAGTAATAACCAGCTTAAATCCATACTTTGCTCGAATCTATCGTGCTATTCATTGATCTGATACTCATGGTTAAGCCAATAATGCTCAATTCTGGAAGTTTCATCGATAGCAGATCTGTCTGAAGAGGTATGCCTCAAAGAGAAATGCCTTCCGACTTTTAGATCACTGCAGTGTCTTCCAAGCGTATATCCCAGCAATTAATGAAAACCTTCTTGTTCTGCCAAAGGGTGTGCTCACAAACTGAAATAAAATTATGCAAACAGATGGTATAGCAGCTTTGGAACCATTCTTAAAAGATAGTGAAGTAATGCTTCGATCTCTTAATGGATCTAACATAATATTTCACGGTACACCTGCAGTGGGTTCCAGGACATGGTGATATGTAGACTTCTAAAAAGAGGCAATTTATACGTCTCTGACTATTTGCAGATATTTAATAGACAAATACCATGTTATAGATATAGCTGAGTCTCTGTAGAGTCAATCCTGAACTTACTCAACAAACAGACAGACGTTGCATGAATGGAAAACAGGCCTCACATTCCAACTATTAAAATTTAAATGAAATTAAATAAAACTCTAGTTCTTCCACAAATCCGGGAGTTTTTGGCGAATTGCTTCGCGCAGATTGCGCATAACTTGCAGGTAATATTCCTTATTGACCGTTCTTCCCTGTGGCAAGAACTCATGATGCACCACGCCCCTGCAATCGAAGAAAACTGTCAGAAAAACTTTCACGATACTTTTTAACACACCTCGTATGTAAAGGAAGCAGACAGAATGATGTGGTTATATTAGATAGTTTAATTCGATTGTCTTCTTTTGATTATTATAATTATTAAACTATCTTTATTCGTCGATTTAGTAATAGTTTTTTATGTAAAGGTAAAATATAATTTCTTTCTAAGATTTTCAACACTGTAATAAATATTGTGTAGTTTTCTTCGTCTTATACTTTTAGATTTATGAACATTCTTTTTAACTTGGAGCTGATGTTTAATAAACAACTTTTACTAAATTGATTTATTTTTTCTCAAATAGAATCGATGGAATATAATGATAAAATTTTTTTGACAATTATTTGTTTTGTAGGTTCCGAAATTTTATTTTCGGTCAGAGAAAAGTCAGAGAATTTCGAAATTAGTGTTCAGTCGACACTCTGCTTCATTTTGTTGCAATTGTTGTCCCAAGATGTCGACACATGCTCCTCACGCAATTTGTAGTATTATTCCGATATGTTAACCCACTAAGTCCAGATTCAGATTTTAGGCACTCTTTTGATGAAATTCGATGTTTTCAAATATGGTTTTCCAATAAGTTCCAGATATGTCGGATAGGTCTGGTGATTGTGTGGCATATGAGTTATTTTTTACTTATGATTTGATTTCGCTGTTTGATTTAAGCACATTTAAAACTTAAATTATTCTATTAAAATGTTCAGATACATAGCAGGTGGTTTTCGTATTAAATCAATAGTAAACATTTTTAACAGGGACAAAGTCCTACAGCCAATGTTCAAAATAGAATTCATGTCAAATTCTAGCCAACTTAAGAAAAATGAAACACATCATCGAAATCATATTGCACCCTACGCAGTGTCTGCGTGGTGCGTTGTGATTTACATCCCACATAAAAATGTACTCTTCAAAAAGAGGATTTAAATATAAATTGTAGTAATTGTGGCGGAAATCATACTGCAAACTATAGGAAACTATATTCAAGAGATGATCAAAGCACAAAACCAAATGTTGCCAACTTTTTTAAGTAAAAAACAAGAAAAACGATAACTTTGGCTGCACCGAAGCTAATATACCCTTCACAGGTGCATTTCTTTTAGTAACTATTTGTCCAGTTTGTATGGAAGCCATATACTATAGTAATCCGATCTGAACAATGTTTTCGGAGATTATGTTATTACCTTAAGCAGTAATCCATGTCAAATTTCGTGAAAATACCACGTCAAATTCGAAAGTTTTCCATACAAGCCCTTGATTCCGATCATTCAGAAATTACATTATTGCTTTAGAAAATAACCTGTGGCAACTTTTGTGAAAATACACTGTGAAATGTGAAAGTTTTCCATACAAGAGATTGATTTCGATCGTTCAGTTTGTATGGCAGCTATATGTTATAGTGGTCCGATATCGGCAGTTCCGACAAATGAGCAGCATCTTGAAGAGAAAATGACGTTTGCAAAATTTGAAAACGACTTCTTAAAAACCGAGACACTAGTTCGTATGGACAGACAGACAGACGGACATGGCTAAATCAACTCAGCTCGACATACTAATCATTTATGTATATACTTTATATCGTCTCCGACCTTTCCTTCTGGGTGTTACAAACTTTTTGACAAACTTAATATACCCTGTTGAGGGTATAATTATAGTATTGAACATTTGTATTTGGAACGCTAACGGTGTTAACCAATATAAATGCAACTTATTCGATTTCTGGATGAAAGTAATATAGATGTAATGATATTGTCAGAAACGCATCTTACGAATCAAAACAATTTCTGCATACCGGCATTTAGACTCTATGTTACAAACCACCCAGATGGAAAGGCACATGGTGGAACAGCAGTATTGGTCAGAAAGCGATTAAACCACCACGCATTAGAATCTCATGCTACAGCGCAGTCACAAGCTACAACAATATCTCTAAAAAATCGCGATGGTGACTTAAACCTTACAGCAATATACTCGTGTCCACCTCGTTTTAAAATTACAGATAGCGAATTTAGAGACTTCTTTGGCAGGCTAGTTCAAAGTTTTCTAGCAGCTAGAGATTACAACGCAAACACACGTACTGGGGCTCATGGCTCATGGCTGAATAAACATAATAAGCTGAATATAATATCTCCTGGTAAGCCGACATACTGGCCCAGTGACAGAAAAAAAATTCCAGACTTAATAGATTTTGCTGTAGTCAAAAATCGCTTATGACAGCTGATGCATGTACAGACTTATCACTGATAAAATTATACGAACAGTCCGTGATATTTGAGCCAAAATTTTCTCTAATTTATCATAAAACTAACTGGTCGAAACATACAAAATATATCAGCAGCCACATCAATATTGATTACAAATAAATACAAGACATTGATAAAAGTATATGAGAATTTAATGATGCAGCTGTATTGGCAGCACCAAAAAGGAAGCAATAAACCATTTGGTTTTAGAAAAATCACAGTGAAATAGAAAAGCTTTTAAATGAAAAAAAGCGATCTTGACGTGAATGATAGATAAGTCGCTCTCCTTCAACTCTGCTTCAATGAAAATCTTCAGTTCGTAAGAAGGGAAACAATAAAAATTGTATAAAGAAACTGTGTCCAAGTTCTAGCAAATAAAACTCCCTTTGGAAATCCCAATAGTCTTTTAAGCTACCAGGAGATTCCAACATGCCTCTAAGACAGTTGAATGATAATTAGGCACGTAGTGAGGAAGAAAAGCCAAATTTCTCTGCAAATCACATAGAAAAGGTGTTTCAACCTAATTTCCTAAAGAACAACTTTAAGTTGCCAACTTTGCCCAACATCGCTAACGCGTCGCTTGTGGCTATTAAGAAGTTACTAGAATCATAAAAGAGGTAAATATGAAAAGGGTCTCAGAACACGATAACATTACTCCAAAAATTAAAATTCAGTTACAAAATATTGCTATAAAAATGATTTCCTTGCTCTTTAATGCAATTCTTAGTTTCGGATCAAGCGAATTAGAGAAGGACTTAACTCCTGTGGCTAGCCAACTGGCGTATAAGTAATAATG